AAAATATCCATTTTGACTGCTATGGAATGCAGTTTAACATTGTTTTTTCGTGTCATCTGTATGTGAGGATAGAATAAAGGACTCTTTTTATCCAAACGGAATTATAAATCTATTGAAAATGGATTCTGAAGAGACTTTTTGTGGTGTCTGTAAGTACATGCACACATATGTGTGTATCTTGCGTAATTCAAAAAGTATGTAGTTATGCACCTCCAATTATGGTTGCAGTTGGCCTCACCAGAAGTATATAAATAAATATATATATACACTCAAGTGCTTAAATTGTGCCGGAGCCCAGATCACTTCTAATTTTTTAAGATAAATTACAATTTTAGCCAGAGCGTACTGGAGCCCTAAATAGGAAGAGCTCCGGATCTTCTTTTTATAAAACTGAACTACAATTTAAAGGGAAAAAATTTAGAATTCCTAACATTTTTTGTTTAACAATAAGCAGACCTTGCAGTACTCTATTTCCCTAGAAATACAAACTCATGAGAACATGAGACGTTCAAGTAAAGTCCCCTCACTCACATGCAAAAGCCTTTCCCTTTAAGAATTGCAATAAATTGGGGGGGGTTGTTTAGGAATGCATAAATTCCTCACCATGCCATTGTTATCTAGTGTATTGTTATTGATGCTTACAGTTGGTTATCCTCGCAGGAAGGAAAATCTATGTTCTTAAATGTGCGTTAAGTGACAGCAAGTACAATAAGAGTGAAATACTGAGATAAACTGCTCAAGCACATCCTATACATCGTCTTCCCACAGTATCCATTAATGGGGGGGCATAGAAGTGTAACCATCAACTTTACATTCATGACATACATCTGCTTGATGGCTATAATTATATCAGCAGAGAGCCGTGGTCAAAGAGAACATTCTCTCTCACCAAGATTCCCCTCATTTTTTTGTTTCCACCCACTCATAGCCTCATTCTGTTTCGCCCTGGAATTTTCATCAGCTACACTTTAAGCAGGACTGTGGAGTCGGAATCGGAGTCGGGCAGATTTTGGGGGAAAAGGAGTCGGAGCTGGAGTCGCTAAAAACAGGTCAACTCCGATTCCAGTTTTTATCGGACAGTTTGAATTTGAAATGAAATTAAAATGAATTGAAAAAATTAATGACGAGCTGAGTTATTATTTTTATTTACGTACTGTATACATTAATAAATAGTTATTTTCTATTTTGTTGACATATTAATAAATAAATAAAAAGGATGGATGTTATATTTGCCATTAGCAATTAAACTGAGTCATTTAGTTACAAATCTCACTGGTAAATTTAGGTAAGCAGCAATAGCAGCAAGAACTCCTAAAATTTATGCCATTCTTAGGAAGCGAGAAGGAAAAGGAGCAATTATTGATCAACCAATGCAATAAGGAAGTACATATTTGATGATAAAGAGTTTTTAGAATTAAGAACTTTTTTAGAAGAAGTAGATAATCCTAATGTTTCAGTAACAGAAAGACTGTGGAATGATCTTGCAGAATTGGATACTCTTCTTTCTACACCATATATAACCACAAAAAAGATGCTATCTAAAGAATTGGCAGGAGGCGAGAATGGAAGAATGGGATGTTTGTTCTTTCTGAAATGAAGGGTTTATTGCAGAAAGAATCATTTCTTCAGTAAAGAAAAGAGAAACTAGTTTGCTAGACAATGAGATCTTGCTGGGTTCAATATATGTAGATTCGAAACACCGAACTTTCTAGGATGACAAACAAATTAAAAAGGCAAAGAAAGTCATTTATGAACTTTCACTAGGGATGAAATTTATTCTCAGAACAATTGGAGAATTCGAATCAGGACAGTCAAACTGCAGACATTGCAATTGAGTCTCCATCCTCTTCCAGTGATGAATTAGATTTTGAGAAATATTTTTGGATAATATTGAAAAGGCTATGGCAAAGCGAATAAAAATGAAGAACCAAGAGCCTTTAGATATAAAAATGAAAAAATGCAAAGACGATTTCGGCACGGCCTTTGAAGAAATAGAGAAATATGATTGTGCTTGCAAGATACCTCTTTTAGAACTTATAAAAATCTATCCTGAAAAGTTAAAAGAAGTAGCCCTAACAGTAACAGCTCTTCCTCCTGCTCAAGTTGGTGGGGAAAAACTCTTCTCAGCTCTGAAGTTTATCAAATCGGATCTATGGGCCTCCAACAAAGAAGATCTTGCCGAAGCTATACTGTTTCTTAGAAATAACTAATGCCAGTTTTTCTATTTCATAATAAAAGCTATTTAATGTAAATAATTTGCTATGCCATCTTTTTTTTTTCCTCTGTATCATCTATTACTATTTTATATTAAAAAACTAAGTTGTAACCCATGCATATATATATATATAAGGGAGTCGGAGTAATTAAAATTCCAGGAGTCGGAGACGGTCATTTTCCCTACCGACTCCACAGCCCTGACTTTAAGTATATTTAATTTTTGTGATGATAAAATCTTCCCCCCCCCCCCCACACACACACACAATCAGAGCTTAAATTGGGCCAGAGCCCACTGGATTTCGGCTCCGATGTTTCTTAGTTTTTGTAATAAATCATAATTCTAGCCGGAACGCATCGGAGGCCTGAATAAGAAGGCTGCGGCACTTCTTTTATGTAATTGAATAACAATTTCAGTAAAAATTTTATCTCGAAAATTTTATTTTAACAATAAAATTATATTAAAATCACTTATTAAATTCAATTTATCTCTTTACATTTTATTTAATACTTCAATCTTTATTATTTCAATAATAATAATTATGTAATAATATTGATTAAATAACTATTAATTATTTTGATAATAATTAACTATTTAATTTTAAAATTATTAATGAGCTTAATAGTCATTTTATTTATTTATTTACTCTTGTTCCTCTTTGCTGATGGTCTTCCATAGGGCTCCGGCACTTCTAATCTTAGAAATTAAGCCATGTATACACCCACTCTGTTACTCAGGCTCAGTGAGCTCAATGTTTTTATTCTTATATGTTGGTAAATTGTGCATTTTTGCTTTAAAAAATGATTGAATTAAGTTGTTCTTATCTTCCATTTAAGGTTTCTATGCCTTCAGTTAATCTACATGCAATAGTTATAGAATTATCAACAATTTAAAAGTTGTTTAAATGCGAAGCCTAATTTGTTTCACCATAGCCGCCATATTTTTTATAATTGAAACTTAGCAGAATGGTGAAGCCTTTTTGCACCTTCAGTGTCTTTTCGCTTAATGGGATCATAGGGAAACTTTTAGTTTTGTGCACTGAAAAATCTACCTTCTTGCCTGCTGGCCGAATTGCTTGTTTTTGTGTAGAAACTAATTTTAATTAAAAAAAATTTTTTTTAATTATTTTAACTAATTTGGTGTATTATGCTTTTCTATATCTTTCAGTTTTTAATGAAGATATTTTGAGTTTTTATGTATTTTTGCCTAGCCGCAAAGTGAGAACTGAATTAATTAAATCAGAAATACATCTCTAATGAAATTTGAGGAAATAAGTTTTCATGAAATGCAGGAAAAAATGTGTATAATTTAATATTCCATACAAAGAAGTCCTGGTGTACTTATCAGATTTTTGTTATGAACATAATAATTTTGATGAAGATAATAAAAGTAATCATAATAAATTAGAATTATATTAAGAAATAACATTAAAATAAAAATTTTCTTTCCATATATTAAAGTGACTTTCTATTTTGGTGTCTTATGAATATTTTGATTCTGAAAGATAATATTTGCTATAAAGAACAGTTTCCAAAACGCTTCTTAAAAAAAACAAAGATGCTATTATAATTATTTAAACATTAATTTCATTTTGCCTTTTATATTTTTTCATGATAAAGAGTTCCCCCCCTGTAACTTTTTCAAAAATTTTAAGCGTATATCAGTTTTCTGTTAAAAATTGACATTACGCTTTTCTGTCTCTCTCTTCCTGCCCCCCCCCAAAAAAACTCTTCTTGCTTTTTGCTCTTATAAAGTTGGTTGTTAAATTTTTCTTAAGATTTATAAACTTCCAGTGTCCAGAAAAAGGTGACAAAATGAAAAGTGTCAACATCTAATGAACGTGTTTTATAGTAAATTTGTGATGAATTTCTTATCTTTTGGACAAAATTTGGAAGAATGATTGAAACAAAATTATGTGATTTTTCTACTTTTGATCCCAGAAGTCTTTCTCTTAACATGTTTATCTTCCCTGTATTTTCTGATCTTTTCACTAGACATAAACATTGAAGAAATCAAAGAAATTGAAAACACACTATATTAAAAGATTCATCATATTTGTATCAGTGCACTATATCTTTCACATCTTGTCCTATTTCACATCTATCTACAGATCTTGTCCTAAATTCTAAAAATTTTGCCATCCCTAAGTTCTGTTGATTGATGCTTCACTATATTCTGCCACACTGGCTCTGGTGCCAGCTGTGATCTTATATCATTTCATATTTATTCTCAGTACTCATATTATTAAAGAAATAAATAACCATGTGAATCTATTATGGCTTAGGCTGTATAACTACATAATGTAATTATTTGTAACTATCTGCTCACCCTTAGAAGCTATGTATACATGTTAAAGCAAGTTATTGCCTTTTCTTAATCCTTAATTTGAATATGACACTTGACATAAAGTTGCATAAACCTCTGGACTGAGTGAATGTGTGACAAAATGAGGCAGAAAAGAAAATCAATGTAAAACTGTTTGTAAAATGTAAACAAAAAGGTAATTATCTTCTTTAAAATATGTGGGACTATTATAATATTTTAAGAAATTATAATGTTTTAAGAAATTTTATAATTTAATGCTAATTACTTGAAAAAATTTATTTAAGTTAACTTTATTCTTGAATGAAACATTTAATAACTGAATATTGATTATTCTTTTTTTTTTTTTTTTTTTTTTTTTTTTTCCCTGTAGTGGAAAGCTGTGTATTATTGTACAGAAGTACTCTGTGATTTCATGCATAATTTTAAAATTTTAAAATTGTATTTATTTATTGTATTACAGGGATATTTAGTACAATTGCAGTGATAACCTTTGGAGCTCTGGGCGATGAAAGAAACTGGATGCCAGATCCTGATCATAATTATTTGTCCTGGTCATTTGGATTAGCAGTAATTGGAGCTTTGCTAGAGCTTGGTTCAGGTTCATTGTTTGTTGTAGAATCTCGTCTTGCACAACGTCGTATTCAGGATAAAAATCAACAAGTTTTTACATTAAATCAAGTGTCTAAAGCATAAACACATTTTAACATCTCTGTATATTATGTCTTTTAAACTCTCATATGTATATTTTTCTGTTATTCAAGTTGTTCGTGTTGTAAATGTTTTTACACAATCTGTATAACAAGGTGATCATTTCTGTTCAGAATACTATGGCAATCTTTATTAGCTGATGATTAGCTTCTATCTGCTGTCCTATTGTTCTGTTTTATACAGTTCTGTGCAGTAAATGTGACTGTTGTTAATAAGTAGATAATTCACAAATAAAATATATTTATGTATTTTATAAGGACATTTTTAATGCATTTATGTATTTAATTTATAATCATATATATGGTGGTTATGATATAATCAGGTTGTATTTTTCGCTTATTTTGAATTTCTTTCGTAACCCTTGAGAAAGAAATTTTTATTTATTAAAGAATTAGACATTTTAATTTGTGTAATATTTCTTTTCTTACCCCCTTTTTGTGTAAACAATAATTAAAAATAATATCCATTAAATACTTGAAATTTGTCACTGTTTTTTAAAAAAAATTCTGAAGCTTTAAAATGGTAGGAAAATAAATTTTGATATGGAGCTTTATATTTTACCTTTATTTTTACAATAATTTAAAATTTGCTTTCATTTTTAAGTTAAGATGAGTACTTAAAAATAAGACAACTGTATAACGAACTTTATTTTCAAATAATATATTTGAGGTGTGTGTAGTTTTCATGAAGATTACCTGATGGATTACTTGAATGTAAATATTTGCATGCATTTTTAATGAACAGTTAAAATGCAACTAAGTATGTGATCCTATTTTCTGGGAAGAACATTTGTGATTTCTGTTTTAAGTACTTTGATAACTAATGTAAAGTTCTTTGTATCTTTTAGGATATCAGAGAAGGTATATATGATTGTTATAAATGTAAATTATAAAGTTCTTATTTACATTTTTCAAAGCAATTATTATGTAAACAGATGGGTACTCTTCTGTGATTCCATCCACTTAATTTTTTTTCCGTCTTATAACCAAAGTATATCTCTCCAATTCATTAAGTTTTTTTGTTTGCTTTTTTTAACATGATTGAAAAACTAGTTATTATTTTTATCATGACTAAAATAATTGTTTTCTTGTAGTAGTAATATTTTAAATGTTTCAATTGTGTTCTACACAGTCCTTAAAATATAATTATAAAAAATTCAGGATTTATTTAAGGGGGTATGAGAGAAGCTTTAATGTTCCTGTAATAAAATAGTATTTTACCAGATACTAGGATTTGCATATTTAATCAAAGCTCATTTTGCAGAAGAAGAAAAAATATAGTATTCTACGAAGTTGAGTTATGGTAAATAGTGTGGGACAGGCTGTTTCAAAACTCATGAGCAAAAATTTAAGGGATGATAAAGATGCGTATTAGAAATGCCTTCACGAGTAAAGGTGTATTCATCAGTTAATAACACACTTTATGCTTTCCATTACAGTGCCGTCTAGTGGTTCACTGCTTGCTCTACCACTTTCTTTTATAAATATTTCTAATTACAGACTTAAAAAAATTATTTATAGCATTTATTATTCTTGTTTTTCAATATGTCATGTACTATTCTTAGTAGTGTTGTCAAATATTTATTAGTGAGCAAAATTTGAAATTACACCAAGGTCAGCCAGGGTGGAGGCATTAACAGAAGAGTATCCAGAAATGTTAAAAAATGTTCATATTTGTATAAACTATGTTTAATGTAAAAAGTTGCATTGTTAAATAAATTAATGTAATCTTTTTTCAGCTTATACTATTGTGTTCAAATTAAAATCATATTTTATAAATTAAGGAAAATAGTAAATCATTAGAATACCAACATCAATTTCAGATTAATTAAATTAATATAGGTTCATTCCAATCTCTATTTAAAAAAATTAAACTTTTAAATAAATTAAAAATTGAATTATGCTAAATTGTATAAAAAGTAGAAAAAATTTATTACTTGTGCATGAAAGTTTTTCTATGTCCACTTTCTGTTATATTCACTAGGCTGTATAAACAATTAATATATAAACTGTAATTAATCAATAAAATATTTAAAGAGCTGGATCAAAACATACAATATTTTGAATACTTAATCTAATGATTATTGTATTCTTATTGAGGTAAGAACTCTTTCTTTCTAATGGTGCAAAATTTTGCTTCCCTTTTTTGCCTTCTATATATGAGGAGGGATACATTTTTTCCTGATAATGCCTTTTGATGCATAAACTTAGTCATCTTGCGTATGCTTCCTATTATTGTAATAAGCATTTAAGGTCAAGTACGTTCTTAAACTGTAGAGAAAAGTTATCACTTAATTATAGACAGGTATTTTTGAGTTAAGTAATGGAAAGCAATTCTGTTTTTAATGTTCGATAAAGTGATCTGAATATGGCAGAACAACATAAGGGCTGTCTGCCTAACGGGAAATTGTCTTGCATTCATATTACATATAGGGAAAACCATGAAACCAGCGATTTGCCTGGGATTGAACTGCAGTCAAACTCCCAGCATTCAAGAGATTTCACCACTTGGGTGCTGGTGGGGCTTATTTAAACATTTTATTTGCAAATAAATTATAAAACTGACATGCAGTATCTAAGATTGTAAACCTTTTAAACTTCTAGATTTTTCTAATTTTTATCCCTGTCGTAGATTTCTTTAATTGTACACTGTGCAAAAAAAAGGGGGGGTGACAGTTCTATATCTCCCATTCTACTGTGCCGATTGACAAAATTGAAATTGCGTTTTTCATGTCTTGAAAGCATGACTTAGGATATGGTATTTTGACACAAAATGAGACTTTTTCTGAAATAACATACCAATTTTTTCCATATTTCGATTCTACAACTCAAATTATGCCTAGATATAAAATTTGGTGCGAAATTTACAGAGAAATTCAAAAATTTATTTCGACGGAATTTTTTCAGTTTGCGCCAAGAATAATTCACTTGGCGAACTTCGTAATGTGTGGCAACCAATTTTCCTTTCCGTTCCATTATGACGGAGCGAAAGAAAAGGCACCTCGTTCCTACCTTTTTACATTGTGCATGAGCGGAAGAAAAGTCACTTCGTTTCTACTTCCAAATAATTTTAGCAAAGTGTCTAAACCACATTTGATGTTTTATCGCTTTCAACAATATGCGAAATTTCAAAACTGGCCAATATATAAAATCACGCATATCTTCGGAAATTTTGAATAAAAAACGTAATTTTTTGCAGGAATGCTTAGAAATATGTCTTCTTTAAGATGATGGTAAAATTTTTATAATTTTAATTCAAAAAGGTTTTTGAAAGATATATAAAAATTATTTAAAATGTGAATCATAAAAAATGGGTGAATTTTATTTGGAATGAACCTGAATTTCGAAATATGAAAGGAAGAATCAAATAAGTTTAATTAAAAAAAGAGAGATTAATAAATATATGCCAAACTCAATTAACATTGAGGAGCTATAAAAACTACTCATGCGATTTTTACAAAACTTAGAAGTTTGAGCCGTAGAATCGAAATATGGAAAAAAAATTGGTATGTTATTTCAGAAAAAGTGATTTTGTTTTAAAAATACCTATATTAGAACGATGCTATGTATAAATCTAATACATATCCTAAGTCGTACATTCGAGACTTGGAAAAACACAAGTTGAATTTCGTCAATCGGCCCAGTAGAACGGGAGATGTAGAACTGTCTCTTTTTACTTCAGTTTTGTTTTCACTATATTTATTATAGAATAAAAGTTTCAACCAGTGTTCTGAGCATAGTTTAAAATCTGTTCTCTTGCTAATGATGTATCCTAAGCCATCAGGAATTAAATACAACAAGCTTTTAACACTAAAACGACTGAAACAGTACATACCTATATTTGCTCCAAAGCAGTCAAAATGACTTCATTGTGAAAGAATAACTAATGCGTAAATTTTTTAAAATTAATTTTTAATATTTTTTATTATATTTACAGTTATATAACAATTTATTAGTAAATATTAACAATAAAAAAATTACTTCACTTGGAAAAAAATAATTTATGCATTATTATTTGTACATTTCTTGCAAATAAAAGTGGAAATTTTTTTATGTGTACATCTTCCACAAACATACTTTTGACATTTTTCGGATATAATATTTGTTTTGTTGTTGTGGCAAAGTCGTACTTGACAAATTTTGCATTCGTTAGAATGGGTTGCAGTTCATCTTTGTGGGTCTTTATGTTCTGATGACTTTTTCTGTCTTGCAGCTCTTGTATTCGGTGGAAAGCTGTTCTGCTAATTGAAACAAGAACTCTTTTCGTTGTATTTGTATTCCTGTCATTTCTTTATAAAAGATCCAAGCATTTATAGCAGCCAAATCTAAAATAATTGAAAAAATTTGGAGTGGCCATCTATGAGAACTAGCTTTTACTGCATATTTCCTGGTCATTTGATCCGTCATATCAACTCCAAATTTCGTGCTGTTATAAAATTGAATAGATTCCGGTATCATTTTTTATTACTTTTATCAATTTTTCACATTAATGCTTAGAACTTAGAATAGCTACTCCTTTACACTCATGTCCATAAATTAAGGATAATACCAAATCAGGCAAAGGAAAAGTTAGAAGCAAAACAAATTTGACTTATTTGTAAAGCTTATTTATTAAACAAAAGGTAAAGAGCAAAAAAAGATGCTATATGTTTGATATTATTAAAAAAATAACCGATTTTTTTCTCCCTGAAGCAAATTACAAAAAAAAACCTATTTACAAAAAAAAACAATTTAACATGGTTGATATGATTGTTAATACATTGTGTCTCCCGACGATGTATTACAGTCCGTACAACGCCTAGGCAGGAGGAGTATCAAATTATCGATCTGATCTTGGGGATATTACACCACTCAAAAAGCAATGCTCTCCGAAGTTCGGTAGACATGTAGGAGGAGGTTGACTGGCTGCAACTCGTCAGCCAGCATGTCCCACACATGCTGTACTGGATCAAGTCCAGTGAGATGCTGGCGTGCATACGGGTGATCCTCCGATTGAAGGCATTGCTTACAATGTTTGCACGGTGAGGACGGGCGTTGTCATCCATAAACACAAATTGCGCACCGAAACAAACATACATAGTGTTCCAGAATGACGTCCCGATAGATTTGGCTTGTCATGGTTCCAATTTGAACATGCAGGTCAGTTCTGG